TGTGTTTCACGCAGTTGCATTTTTATACACCTGTGTGTTTCACGCAGTTGCATTCTTATACACCGGTGTGTTTCACGCAGTTGTAGTTTTATACACATGTGTGTTTCACGTAGTGGTATTCAGATACTCCTGTGTATTTCACACTCCTGTGTGTATAAACACACAGGTGTATAAAACTTCAACTGCGTGAAACACACAGGCGTTTCAAAATGCAACTGCGTGAAACACACAGGTGTATAAAAATACAACTGCGTGAAACACACAGGCGTATAAAAATGCAACTGCGTGAAACACACAGGTGTATAAAAATACAACTGCGTGAAACACACAGGCGTATAAAAATGCAACTGCGTGAAACACACAGGTGTATAAAAATACAACTACGTGAAACACACATGTGTATGAAAATACAACTGCGTGAAACACACCGGTGTATAAAAATGCAACTGCGTGAAACACACAGGTGTATAAAAATACAACTGCGTGAAACACAGTAGTATAAAAATACAACTGCGTGAAACACACAGTAGTATAAAACTTCAACTGCGTGAAACACAGGGGTATGAAAATACAACTGCGTGAAACACACAGTAGTATGAAACTTCAACTGCGTGAAATACACAGCAGTATGAAAATTCGGCTGCGTGAAACACACAAATTTCACGCATGCGTGGAGTGTATGGAGTATGCGGGAGTGATTCACGCAATGGTGCGAATAGTCACGGCCATTATTATAGGTAAAATGTGATCTTTCAACCGTGATATTGTACCCATGACATTTTACTCATGACTCTCTCGACGTTTCACCCATGATATTCCACCCTTGACGTTTTACTCATGATATTCCACCCTTGTCATTGTACCTATGACATTTTACCCATGATAATTCACCATAAAAAAAAAGTGGTCCATTTTGCCCGTGGGGTCCATTTTACCCCGCAGTCCATTTTGCTCCACCCTCCCCTATTATGCCTCTTCAGCCAAGATGATGGAATGATGCCATTCGATGAGCAAATTCTCAATAGTATGTATTATTTTTTTTTTGGAATTACCAGGGATTGAGAGCTAATGGTCTCTTTTTACCACTTTGCTCCAGAATGGAAAGATAATGCTCTGAATTTTGAAAACTATTAAGACAATAAGGGTTTTTTAGGCCTAGCATGCCACAATGAATTATAGATAGAATTACTGCCTTAAGAAATTTTATTGAACTCATTTCTTCAGTAAACATTCGACTTACCTAATTAATTCGATTATTTTCAATTACAAAAACGCCACAAACGAACAATCGAACTACTGTGCAATTATTCAACCAATACTGAACTCATTATTCTTATTATTGTTTTCCGAGGATTTCAATGTTAGTTTGATTACTATTTGTCTATCAAATACTGCGGTTACACTGACACAGAATAAACAAACAATAACGAATAAATAAATTGCCAGTTACGAATTCGTGAGTTTTCGACGATTTGTATCATTTTTCTTATTTAACAGGAATAATCAGACATTCGTCATATTTCTCATTTTCTTCCAAATTTATTAGGAAAAATTTTCAAGTTTGAGATGAGAATGTAGTTATGAAATTAGTACAAATTGAAAAATAAAATGAATTTAAAAAAATTTTGATTGAACAAAAATTGAAATTTTTCAATTTGCAATATCTCCTGAAAAAAAATCGTACGATTTTGATAAATAATATCTTATTTTTGATAGCATAGAAGAACCTGGAAATTAAATTAAATTTTCGAATATTCACTCTCCCAAATTGGAGTGACTGACGATTGAATATGAGAAATTCTGTAATGATGTAAAAACCGTGATGAATTAAATTTGGCATATTCTGTAATTTTATAATTATCTCGATAATGACTGACTATAGGAAAAAATGTAAAGATACATAATTTGTTGGAAATTCCTTCAGCGACAAGAAAATCGTTTTGACATTTTCTCGAAAAATCACACATTACCAAGATTATTTCGTATATATAAAAAACATCATATTATGTTCCACTATAAATCGACTTTCATGCATCCGTGAGTTATGCAATTATCACGGTAATAAGGAATAGTACGAGGAAATATAAACAGACCTTTTGTGTAGACGATAAAATTTCCTACAAAAAGTCTTTTTACATGTTGTCCTACAATCACTAATTTCCAAGATAATTGCATATTGAATGACATGAATGATTATTTTTCACCTGACAGCAACAAAATATGATATTAAACGCGATATGCCACATATACATCAAATCCTTCAATCCTTAAGATGCACGTTAAATATTGCTGATATCCTGTTGATCAACAACTACTATCTCTTGATTTTGAATTTTGATAAATGAGCTCATGGCTATGCACGTGATTTCAGCTGAAGATTTCAGTGAAAAAAATTAGAAATGTGGAATTACAATCGAGAATAATTTGTTTTACCTCCTTTTTTTATGCATGCTGAACAAAACCACATAGTTTTACGTTTCCTACTGTCGATTTCAACGCACTGAGAATGATAAAAGAGTAAACAAGAGACACAGGATAACCAATCTCGTGATACGTGGGTATTAACTCGTCGACAAGTGTTACAAGTTTTCGCACCACTCTTTTTTTTTTTCACTAACGGCTTTTTCAAGTGCCAAGAATGCATTCCTCGCAAAATACTTCTAGATTAACTGAATATTTACAGTATGAAACGAATCTCTTAAATTATAAATTCCTAAGTTCAAGTCGGTTTTTTTAATACAATACTTTGAGTCGAGGACGTTCATCACCAAGTCTTGGTTGATCAACCAAGTCAACATTTCTTGTATTTGTTGCAACTGTGTTCGTTGAACGAATGGAACAGGCAGCTTCTTCCTTCTCGACTGCACTGGAGTAGTAATCATACCTAATCGGGGTTTTCCTTTAATTTTGACTGACTTGGGAGAGTGAATATTAGAAAGTCCTGACAGATTGTCTCCATCTGGTTCAGAAAAGTCGTTATCCTGTAATGAAAATAGTCATATTTTAATGAAGTATTCAATGAGAACATTTTGAGTGGAAATAAGCATACATACATCTCGATAAGATTGTGGGATTTTCAAGTTGAGCAGAGGTGTACTTTCCAAGCATGAGGCAGTACATTCTGTTACTTCAATTGATATTAATTGTTGCTGACTCCATAATCTCTGCAAATTATCAAGAGTATCAACAAATTCCTGGCACTCTTCTTCCAGTGCCGTACATGCAAGCAGTGTCAAATCGGTGAGGTCAGGCTCAACTAATCTCCGTTTTTGAGGAACGCTGAGAAGTTGAGTTGCTGCTGATATATCTTTAATCTGCAGTTTTTTCATTAAATCATTTAAATTGTCAGTCTCAATTGCATCACTGTGAGAGGAAATTTCAGCTTTTGACGCAGTTTTTTGAACAATGGTAACTTTAAAGTCTTTTTTCCACGCTTCTTCAATTATTTGGAGTATGTTAATCTTCTTCTGGAACTCCGATCTGCAAGAATTACTCACGATAAATGGGAGGGAGTCGATAATTGGTTTGAGCATAATTTTACGACCTTCAATTGAACTCACATCGGGAGACTTCACAGTACATGTGAGAGGCAAACGTACTCCAATCTGTTCAGCCGACTTGACTTGGAAAATCCGTTGTTTGCTGGTAGTATTCTCTCGTCCACCGCTTATTGCAGAGCTCTTTTTCAAATAGTGACAAACCGAAATATTTTCTTGCAGCAAAAATGTGCCGACAGGGAAGTAATGAAGAAGCTGGGGTCCCACAGGAGCATGAGTCTTTAGTTACTTGCAAAATAATTGCTCGTCGTTGAATGGAACAGTTGCCTTCAGATCCACCTAGGACGTTCACAGCGTCATGACGTTTAATCTCATTTGAAATGTGTTCAAAAGCTGAGTCTGTTAGAATTTTAGAATATGATTCTTCAGTACTCCCTTTTTTCGCATACAGTTTGGTTTTCATGAACATGTTAGCTGTTGTCGAATTAATCTCATTTGTGTGTGAATCTAAATAGGTGAAAAATCCTGGAAAAAAATCCATCATACTGCTCCGTTTTTCGATGACTTGTTTCAATTTTTGATTCATAGATTCGACTCTATTATTCGTTCGATTCATAAGATTTCCCTCGATCATATTGAAGACCGTCCATTCATCTCTGATCGGGTGCCAGTTGTCATTATAATAGTTTTTTAATTTGTCCGATACAGCTTCGCAGAATTCATCATAGACCTTAGTGTATTCTTCTTGCGATTGACTATAGGTAAGTTTCTGTAAAAATGGGCGAATCTTCAATCTGTCCTCCTGCGTGAACTCGTTTAATTTTTGTCCAAACGTTTTCAACGCGTGAAAGAGGCAAATGTAAATTGGTGGACTTTTCCCTTTCTCTGGGTTGTAAAACAGTGTTTTGATAACTTTACGGCCTGTGTGATCCTTATCGCTCATGAAACACGATATTTTCTTCCATGTATCACCATTATTCTCCTTAAATGTGGATAGGAATCAATTCATAGTTGGTTTATCTTCAACTGCTAATAATCCAACGGCTATAATTTCACTTTGCGCATTGGAGTCTTCAACGACCATCAGCATAACTGTTAAATTACTATCAAGCAGACTGTACGTCCCATCGATTGCAACGATTTCAGGCCATGCGGCGAACGAACGTCTCATGTCTGGCGTCGAAAAGTATAGACCTTGAAATTGATTTCCATTTTTTAAGATCGATACATCAGCACCTTTAATGTAGAGAAAAAGTAAATATGTATTAAATTTAATCGGAGATAAGCAATTAACTCGTTAAAAACAAATAAAAAAAATAAATAAAACCTAAATTAACGAATTGACGAATTGAGTGTTCTGGACATCATTTTAAGACTTCAAAAGCAAATTCTTTATCAAACATTCAAACCAAAATGCATTTCAGTGTCGATGGTCAAAGAATCGACAATATATTTAGTATTTCGACTTGGTATCGCACCAGTAGATATGGAATCGGTAGATTCATTCATTTATTGGTTTTCCATATTCCCTCAGTACTCCACTTAGTGAATTGGCAGAAAACTAATTTGCCTTGATTATTTGAAATATTCAGAATCTTGATATCAACTTCAAACCCTCTAAACGATATTTATACCAACGTCCCTTTCTTAGTATTTTTCGTTCGTTTGCAAATTATTTTAGATTAATAGGCCGAGGACAGGTGATCCCAACTGAGTGAAACACTCAAGACGCCCCTCGAGTCTCCATCGACTTCAACTAGCACCAATATTTTCTATGACTTTCAAACAGTTATTCTTTCATGATTTTATTCGCCAAAACACTCCCAAGACAACTCCAAAAATAACTCACTAAAGAATTCAGTTTCATTCTTACCTTTTTCATCAATAAGAAACTTTACAGCTTCAGTTAACTCTCGATCATCTTGCTTCTTCAGTTGTGCTTTCAAATTAGACAAATCTTTAAGAGTCACGTGTTTGCCCAACTTTGTGTGGATGTCTTGTTGGATTAATTTTTTGTTACATCTCATTTCCAAAAATTTAAGAGTGTCTGTCTGTTGATCTGAAGTGAGTTTGCGAATCTCTGCATAATGCTCGTAAACAGCCTGTAAAAATCAATATTTTCTCACTCATGCGAATTCACGGCCAATGCAATGGTGAAAATAAATGAAAAACAAATTTTAAAAAATTTGCACCTGAGAGGATACATGATCTCTGTGATCCAAATTAATTTCAGTAATTGTGAAAAATCCTTGGTTATTCAAGCATTGGAATTTAACCTTAGCTGGGCAATTTACTTTACACGACCTAAAACATAATTTATTTGTTATCATTATTGTAAATGCATCCTAAAATTTTTCAAAATAAACTCATTGAACTACAACATATGATTGCAGGTTCAATTGAATCAAATTCAAATACCTTGTCTTGCGCTTGTCTGTGGTGTTAGATCGGTACGGTGTGCCTCCGTGTTTACACGTATATTCGACTGTTCTATATTTCACAAGATCGAAATTTTTTGCCTTTTCACTGAGTTTCGCAGATTTTCCACGGGTAAATAAAACTTGTTCATAATCCATCCAGGCTTTCATGTAATTAACAACTTCTTCATGACTCTTGAATGATTTCCCCACTACTGGTCTCTCAATTGAACTCATTTTCTCTGTTTCACGTTGTTCTTTCATTCGAGATAAACACTACTGAGGGCACTTTTATTATAGAATGTGGTTTATCGATGGTGACAGAGGACATATTGATGGCACATTGCGATTGATTCTGATAAGTGCTTGGGCCTGACTGTAGATTTTGAGGTTATAGAGAGCTGCATAAAGTTATTTGAAATAAAATCATCCCACCACGGTACAAATCAATTGATAAATTAATCACAAATGACTTTTGTAGTGCCAGTTGAAAAAAAAATTTTTGTACTGCGAAAATGCAGTGATTAGTTTTTATACGAGACGCTATAGATAACGCAGAAACGTTTCGTTATATAACGAGCTAGGTCAAAATCGCCGTTAATCACCATTAATATACAAAGATTGATCAGATGGATGAAGCACGAGGGAAAATTTGAAAATGCCCACTCTATCACGGAATTCTCATAACAGAGATGGCCTCACCAGTTCTTGCATACTTCAACTAACTGTCACTAGATGACAGTGCTAGCCGAAATGATTTTCATTGACTGCGATGGAGATTCGCCATACCCTTTGGACGTTATTCATCGGGAATGTAGTTCATCTATAAAGTTCAGAATTTTCCGCCATTTTATATTCGGCATGAGACAGCGATAAGTTCTCTGGGATTACCAACGCAGACGCCATTAGCAACGTTTTTATTAGCTCAATACGACAAACAATTGTTCAATATTTATTCTCCTCGTTAATTTCAATTGAGTAGTTGTGTAATCATCGTGTATCAAGTTTAAAAAATATGGAACTCGCTGCAGAGGAAAGAAAAAAATCAAAAAACAAAATACATCAATTTTACCAAGGGCAAAGGTTTAAGACACATGCAGATTTGAAGACATTTGTTGGAGAATATCTACTGGCGCGTGACGTTAAATTATCAACAGCTCGATCTCATTCAAGCAAAAAAAGTCGTGTAAAGAATGTGGCAGATCATGTCAAAAATTATGACATTGATTATCAATGTTATCGAAGCGGTGTTTATGTGTCAAAAGCGAAAACAGGGAGTCGACCCGGGAGGTAAGCCCATTTTTTCATGTTTCTCCAACATTCCTCTATACATAAATCATTCTTTTTTTTGCTATCTCGAACATTGATACATTGTCAATGTCCACTATTATTTTTCACAATTGACCTACACAGACAAGATTATTCCAAGTTTTTAGTAACTGGTAAATATTTCAAAAATTTTTCAGTTGCCGTTCGGTTAAGACCAATTGTCCATTCAGGATTTTCGTACGTGCAATAGGTAAAACAAGTCTCACCGTGAGAAAAGTGCATTTACGACATAATCACTCATCGGTAAGTTTGATCATATCTACATTTAACATTCAGTTTTTTTTCAAATTTTGCGTTTCGTTAAATTTCCTGGCAATTCAATTTAAAAAAAAAACTCAATTTTTTCCTTTTGTGTTGTAGCCTGTTGTTAGCAGCGATTCATCTTCGGATGAAGATGAAGGTGTTGAGAACACATTGGAGGCATCAGGGAGTCATGCTAAAGAAGTCACAAAGGAAATCGTAAGAATCATTTAATTCCTAAGATCACTTCTTCACCGTAGAGATAATTTTTTCGACCATATATCCATATGAGTTAGGATAGCCAAAGAGTAGAAACAAAATAGAAGCAGTCGTGTCCATTTCATTCATACTCAGTCCTTGGAAAATAAATTTAAATTTAAAGAAAGTTTGTTCGATACCACTGACATTTTACTCTAAAATTGATAATTGTAGAATTTTTGGATATTTTTGTGAAGAATGAGAAATTATGGAAGTATTTCGGTAATTAACGATTCTAGGACAAAACGTCAATAGACATTGTTTGGTGAGATTTACATGATCTACAAAACGATTTTCAAATTTTTCCCTAACGCGTCTCATTGAGTAGATAATTATTAAATTAGCAAAGATTGCTTCAAATTCTTGAAAATTGCATTTGGTGAATAATTAAATTATCTGAGTAATGAATGCAACTACGAGAAAATGTCAGAAGACGGTTTTGATAGGAAATTTAATTTTATTCAAAAAATGTGTGTTTGGTGAGGAACTAGTTTTAGGGTGGATGTGGGATAAAAATGTGGAGGGAGATGTTGGGAAAATTACGGTAGGCGTGTTATAAAAAATCTCAATATATTTTCGTGGGATCGAATCACTTGTCACTATTGCCGTACACTCTTTGGTATAATTAATGTTGAATGTCTAATTTTCACTGATAATTGTCTTTCACTTTATCTCGTTGAGTCACTAAAATTACTGAACTTAATCAACAAGTTGATGTACTGAGCAAAATATTAAATTTAGAATACTGATGAGTAACTGACTCTACTCTATCATTATCGGGACGATACAGAAAAGCAACTGCCTTTTGGGGGTTTCGCGATCCCCTGACCGCTCCACCCGAAGGTTTCCGATGGTGTTCGACGATAATCGGTAGGACCGACCGTTTAGTTGATTGCTGCCTTTCAAACACCCCGGGGGCATTCATCATCAGGGATGATGAATTAATTGGTGAATTTGCTGTTGGAGATTTTCTCTGCTTCTGGCTAATAACATCTTCTTCCAGGGCCTGTTCTGCGGTAGATTGTATGCTGGAGAGGCTTCTGGAAATTCTGATGCCTTTTTGTCGATTTCTGGAGTTTTAACTGTGCCCCACAGTTGTTGATCGTCTATGGTGATATCCTATAGCTCCTTACTTTGTGTGCAATTGATTATATTAAATTTGCATATTTCCTGGTCCCTGAACTTTGGTGAAGCTCCATCAGCTGCTCGTTGAAGGTTTCTTTACGGCCGTTGGAGAAACCCTCGGTGAACAAACTGTGCAATTACGTACCTCGTAGTGTTCCATAATTGCTGTGTGTTGGCCAACTACTTGAAGATTCTAGGACTTGACGAGGTGAACCGTCTTGGTCGTCACTCCTCCTGATAATGTTGAATGGACCAGTCGCTTCATTATGTAAATCGGCTGTTTAATATTTCTTAGAGCGCCGATTTCTGCAAAATTTGTTGATGATCTCTTTTAGCGATGTAGTTGATGGGCTGACTGTTGATCTGAAGTCGTGTCTCCCTTTGGTGAGCCTTGACCCTCATGTTGGTGATGTTCTTCCTTCTGGTAAGCCCTTTGTCGACTGAGAGAGGCCTAAATTTCCCCAGTTGTCGCCGAACTCATTGTTGTTGATTGCTAAGGGGAGAAACAGGGTGAGAGACGTATCACTTGCCAAAATAATAATAATAAATAGAAAATGATACTTAACTCTCAGTCCTGGAATCTCGTTGGAGAAACCCTCGGCTTCTGCTGGTGATGTGCTTCAGTTGAGATTAACGCCAGAGTAGACTCCTCTCGCGTAGGCCTCGATAAATGTTGATAATTCTTTGAGTGGGAAATTCCTTGGAGGATCCCATCCTGAGCTCCCATGCCTTCAGAGTCTCGGCATCGAGTGATCTTCTCAGCAAGTGAGCTATCATTTGCTCGGGGATATTCTCCTGTGTCAATCCCGTCACATCATGCAGTTGATTGAGAGTCTCCATGGCTACTGCTGTGTTGGCGCTGAGGTTCTCTGCTGTTGCTCTGGTGATTTTCGGAAGCTCTAGAACTTGATTGAACAACGATTGAGCAATGAGCCTCGGATCGTCATACCTCTTGGTGAGTTTCTGCCAGGCTTTGTTGTAGTTCTCGTCCTTGACTTGGAAGGTCGAGAGGAGAGTTGCTGCTGGACCTCTTAGGCATCCCTTCAGTCGAACCAGCTTCTGTACTGATGGAATCGAAGGAATATTTCCCACCAATGATAGAAAAAGGTCGCTAAATTCTTTCCATTCTTCAGGCTTCCCATCGAATGGTTTAATGTCGAGACGCTTGAGTTGAGTGGCTTGATTCTGATCGGTTGAACTACTGGTTGAGTCCTTCTTCCTTGCTAGTTGACCCTTCAGTCGAGCGATAAGCATCAAGGCTTGTCTTCTTGTCCTTGTGGCTCGCTCATGTACCCCCTCGGTGACGTACTCATGATCAGGGGGGAGATGCTCGACTAGAATGGCATAAATTCCAAAATATTCATTCCACTCTGTCTCGATTATCTCCTTATGCCCGTCTAATTCCTCTAAGGTGAGGTCCTCTTCGCTGTCAACATCTTACGGTAGTTCATGATAGATCTCCATCAGAGTCTCTACCTTAAATGTCAATAGTCTCAATTGACCTTCCTGCTGCATGGTGAGCGCTGGCGGTGAATTTTGTTGAGCGGGCTTCGTTGATCCTGACGATAGACTTGGACTGTTGAGTTTTTCCTGAGTAGGGTCGCTGACCTAAGCGTCGTCTGCCATGGTGATTGTCCGTGCTAATTTGTCGGTTTAGGTGAGTTATCGGCTGTTGAGAGGCTACGGGTGGCTGTTGCGTTACCGATTGCCGAACTTTGATGAGTCGCCTGTTGCGTGGCGCACGTGGCCAAGTGTTGATGGGCTTCGGCGACACTCGACACTCACGAACGCTCCCCATTTCGACACTGAATTTCACTGGTATGTCCTTTGTAAACCCGTCGCCCTTGCGGGTGTAAACAAAGCGAATGTTCTAGAACTTTCCGTTGAATTGCCCGTGCGAACCACGAAAGTTTATTCGACACGAGGCGTCCCTTAGATTTTCCACAGCACTTTACACACGTTTTCACCCACAATCCGGCTCGAAGGACCACTATTTGGTGAGGAACTAGTTTTAGGGTGGATGTGGGATAAAAATGTGGAGGGAGATGTTGAGAAAATTACGGTAGGCGTGTTATAAAAAATCTCAATATATTTTCATGGGATCGAACCACTTGTCACTATTGCCGTACACTCTTTGGTATAATTAATGTTGAATGTCTAATTTTCACTGATAATTGTCTTTCACTTTATCTCGTTGAGTCACTAAAATTACTGAACTTAATCAACAAGTTGATGTACTGAGCAAAATATTAAATTTAGAATACTGATGAGTAACTGACTCTACTCTATCATTATCGTGACGATACAGAAAAGCAACTGCCTTTTGGGGGTTTCGCGATCCCCTGACCGCTCCACCCGAAGGTTTCCGATGGTGCTCGACGATAATCGGTAGGACCGACCGTTTAGTTGATTGCTGCCTTTCAAACAATGTGTTTTGGTAATTTCTCCTGAAATCACTCATTATCAACATAATTCAACAGTTGATAAAATAACTTACGCCAAATACTATTTTCTTCCAATTCTCCACTGAAAATAGTCAACAAAATTATTTGTTCCAATGAAATAGATTATTCCCAAGCCATGAAAATGGGTGCGTAATTTTATTACAGAACAAGGAGTATTTTTTTATTGTCAAACAATAATTTTACCCTTAAAACTCATCTTTTTATTATCATTGATAAATTGTTCACTCATATGGAATCTTCTTAACATTTTGAGGATCATTTTCAGGATACTGTGCCCGTGTCAGTTGAGGACGCATCCGAAGCCGATGGAGATGTTTTATTGGACATGACGGTGCAAAATAATTTAAGCGAAAGCACCCGTGAGCAAATAAATTGTGGAAATTGCCAGATTGACGTTTCTTCGGACACACGGGAAACGGTAAAAAAATAATTATTTTTGACAATGTTCTTTGTTCTCTATGTCAGACTCAATAATATTTTTTTGTATTCCGTTCTCAGGGTTTCAAAGATATTCTAGATGCTCAATTCGTATGGGACAATAATCTCCTTGATAATACGAAAAATATAGCTCAATCTCCTTCACTAGACCTCGAGCTAGGCTCAAAAGAGGACAGAAACAAGAATTCGAAGCCTCAGGATTTGTCAATGTATATCCATGAAGCAGCTGAAGCCAGAGCAGACTCAATCCGTTGAATCTGCTGACACGGCAGGAGTCATCGATTTAACTCATCATGGAAAAGCTTCATCGGACAGAAGAATAGATGAGATTTTTGAGCAGCATGAAGAGGCAGCTCCTGTGGATATGACTATCCCAAAGCCATCAATTAATGTATCTCTGATAAATCCTGGCATAAATAATGATGCTGTTTTCCCTTCAAAGTCTATGACCAAGCATTCACAGAAGACATCCTGAATATTTCCTGCTGCCCCGACTCGAAGTCTCTGCGGAAAAACAGCTACTCGTGCCATCGACATTGTCAAACTGCCAAACAAAACCGTTGAGACTATACTCTCGAGTGCTAGCATGAGAGGAATTATCAACCCAGGGCCTAAAATATCTGCAAGTGGATTTGCTCTCAGTATTAGCACGCAATATGCTGAGAGAGATGTCCCTGGTGCTGTTTCTCACTCCAACTCAACTTATTTGGAGCAGCTGGTAGAGAAGACATCCTCGGAGTCCCATATTGCCTCGACTAAGAGCTGCTCAGAAAAAGTCATCAACATTTTTGACTCCTCTTTTGAATGCTAACAATGATACATCTGCCCTCGAAAGTAAATTCTCTGAGGTTCATACTGAATCAAAACTAAACAGATCAACTATGGAAGAACTTACACAAATCCAAAATGTTCGGAAGATTGGAAAAACTAGAGGTGCCCCAAAAGGTAGAAGAACCACTGTGATCGGGATGCCCTTGAGCAAAAAAACTAGCACAACGTTGTCACTGCCACGTCGAGCAGCACCTAGGGGTAGGATGCAGATCAGCAGGGGAGAAGACTCAAGCCATGGACAGACCCTGGAAGAATCAACAGGTGACATTGCTCCTGTGGTTGCATTTAATGATTTAGCTAATAATATCAAACTGAAGATGCTTTTAAAATGGCTATTGATGGGGAAATACGTCGCAGAGCGTAATTTCATAATATCTCCAATTGCACAACATGAAATCGACTATGGCGAATTGAGTGATTCCTTTATCGAGACTAGAGACGTTGACCTTCGACTACTGATGTCCTGTATGGAGGTAAAAGCCTACGAGCAATTGGTTATGAGTGTCGGCATGAAAAGAGCAGAAGACAATTACAAATGTGTTGTCTGTGCACTGAAAGAGCATCCCACATGTAAAAGGGTCCTCTGCTGTGACGCATACCTTCTTTGGGTGCATTTGGTATGTGCAAACATGAAGAGAGTACCGAGAAACAAGTGGTACTGTGTGTCGTGCTCAATAAAAAAATAAACTAATTGAGTTTGCGATGGGGTAAGAAATAACAAGTGAAATGGGATATCTTCGTTAATTGTTTGTTTATCTTGAAAACGAGTGGTTTTATGAGAAAATGTCAAAACACTTTTTCTGTAGCTGAATAAATTTCCGGCAAAAGCTGCTACTTGACATTTTCTCCTAAAATCACTCATTCTTGTGATAATACAATATTTATCAAGATGTGAAAATTCGACTTGTTAGGTTGTACTACTTCAACTGTTCGTGGTTTATATTCTTATATCTTTGTTATGAAAAAAAAATTAAATATTATCTCTTTGTTCCCTGCGATGTACCTATTAGTTGAAAGGCTATTGTAACGATTTACAATGTATTATTACTACCGAGTAATTATTATTACCCAGATAATTCCATAACTCACGGATGCATGAAAATCGATTTGTAGTTTGACATAATGTGATGTTTTTGGTACATACGAAATAATCTTGGTAATGAGTGATTTTTCGAGAAAATGTCAGGACGCTTTTCTTTTAGTTGAAGGAATTTCCAACAAATTATGTATCTTTACATTTTTTTCTATAGTCAGTCATTATCGAGATAATTACAAAATTACAAAATATTCCAAATTCAATTCATCACGGTTTTTACTTCATTACAGAATTTCTCATATTCAATCGTCAGTCACTCCAAATTGGCAGAGTGAATATTCGAAAATTGAATTTAATTTCCAGGTTCTTCTATGCTATTAAAAATAAAATATTATTTATCAAAATCGTACGATTTTTTTCAGGAGATATTGCAAATTGAAAAATTTCAATTTTTGTTCAATCAAAAATTTTTTAAATTCATTTTATTTTTCAATTTGTACTAATTTTATAACTGCATTCTCATCTTAAACTTGAAAATGTTTCCTAATAAATTTGGAAGAAAGAATGAGAAATATGACGAATGTCTAATTAGTCCTGTTAAATAAGAAAAATGATACAAATCGTCGAAAACTCATAAATTCGTAACTGGCAATCTATTTATTCGTTATTGTTTGTTTATTCTGTGTCAGTGTAACCGCAGTATTTGACCGACAAATAGTAATCAAACTAACATTGAAATCCTCGGAAAACAATAACAAGAATAATGAGTTCAGTATTGGTTGAATAATTGCACAGTAGTTCGATTGTTCGTTTGTGACGTTTTTGTAATGAAAAATAATCTAATTAATTAGGTAAGTCGAATGTTTACTGAAGAAATGAGTTCAATTAAATTTCTTAAGGCAGTACTTCTATCTATAATTCATTTTTGCATGCTAGGCCTAAAAAACCCTTATTGTCTTGATAGTTTTAAAAATTTAGACCATTATCTTGCCATTCTGGAGCAAAGTGGTAAAAAGAGACCAGTCATTAGCTCTCAATCCCTGGTAATTCAAAAAAAAAAAAAATACATACTGTAGAGGATCTGCTCATCGAATGGCATCAGTCCATCATCTTGGCTGAAGAGACATAATAGGGGAGGGTGGGGCAAAATGGACTGCGGGGTAAAATGGACTCCGGGGGCAAAATGGACCACTAATTTTTTTTTTTAATGGTGAACTATCATGGGTAAAAAGTCAAGGGTGGTATATCATCGGTCAAATGTCATGGGTGAAGCGTTAAGGGTAAATATCATGGGTGGAATATCATGGGTGAAACGTCGAGAGAGTCATGGGTAAAATGTCATGAGTACAATATCACGAGTGAAGTATCACGTTTTACCCATGATAATCCACCCTCGACATTTTACCCATGATTCTCTCCACGTTTTACCCATGATATTCCACCCTTGATGTTTTACTCATAACATTCCACACTCAACGTTTTACCCATGATATTCCATCCTTGACGTTTTACCCATGATACTCCACCCTTGTCATTTTACCCATGATATTCCACCCTTGACATTTTACCCATGATCCTCGACGTTTTACCATGATATTCCACCCTTATCATTTTACCCTTGACATTTTACCCATGATCCTCGACGTTTTACCCATGATATTCCACCCTTGACGTTTTACCTACGATATTCCATCCTTGACGTTTTACTCATGATATACCACCGTCGCAATTTTACCCATGATATTTTACCCTTAACGCTTCACTCTTGAAATTTTACGCATGATAGTTTACCATTGAAAAAAAAAATTGAAAAGAAAAAAAATCAGTTGTCCATTTTGCCCTCGGGGTCCATTTTACCGCGCAGTCCGTTTTGCCTCCTGGTCCATTTTGCTCCACCCTCCCCTACCTTCAGCATAACACATAGTTCAGGCGTCTTGTGCCTAACGCTTGAAGGTCTCAGGTGCGTGACGCTGAAGTTAGCAGCCGGCTTGGCAGCAGAACAGGGGCGTATCATGATCCCCTGGGGCCCAGTGCACACATGATTCAAAAACCGGGGTAAAAATCAATTATCGACATCGGAAAATGTTCAGACACTACCCCTCTGCATTCATGAAAATTCTTACCCCTCTGGAACCATTACTTGTTGATGTTTGAGGGGTGCAAAAATTGATTTTCCTTGAAGTGAAAGAAAAAAAAATCGTTGGCTCCAAAACACTTAAAACTACCAACAAATTTCTATTGAAAGATATTAGGAAAGACTCCCTCAACCCCCAGAAAAATCATCAAGTCTTTCAGAGTGGTCCAATGGAGTGCTAGGGGGTGAAAAAATGGAATTTTCGCGTATTTCAGGGNCCCCAGAAAAATCATCAAGTCTCTCAGGCTGGTCCAAGGGGGTGCTAGGGGGTAGAAAAATGAAATTTTCGCGTTTTTCGGGGGGAAAAAAATTCTCCGACTCATAGTAAGCAAAACCACCAACAAATGTTAATGAAAAAATACTCAGCGCAACTCCCTCAACCCCCAGAAAAATCATCAAGTCTCTCAGACTGGTCCAAGCGGGTGCTAGGGGGTAGAAAAATGAATCTGGGGGTAGGGGGAGTTGCACTGAGTATTTTTTCATTAACATTTGTTGGTGGTTTTGCTTATTATGAGTCGGAGATTTTTTTCCCCCCGAAAAATGCGGAAATTTCATTTTTCCACCCCCGAGCATCCCCTTGGACCACTCTGAACGACCTGATGATTTTTCCGGGGGTAGGGGGATTTGCACTGAGTATTTTACCATTAACATTTGTTGATGGTTTTGCTTATTATGAGTCGGAGATTTTTTTTTCCCCCGACAAACGCGAAAATTTCATTTTTTCACCCCCTAGCACCCTCTTGGTCCACTCTGAAAGACTTGATGATTTTTCTGGGGGTAGGGGGAGTTGCACTGAGTATTTTTCCATTAACATTTGTTGGTGGTTTTCCTTATTATGAGTCGGAGAATTTTTTTCCCCCTGAAAAACGCGAAGATTTCATTTCTCCACCCCCTAGCACCCCCTTGGACCAATCTGAAAGACTTGATGATTTTCCTGGGGGTCGAGGGTGTTTCGTTTAATCTTTTTTCATAACAATGTGCTGGTGGTTCTGGCTATTTATGGTGCAGAAATTTTTGCTTCCCAAAAAAAAGACAAAAATTGAGATTTTCATCTCCCTACCACCCCCTTGGCCTGAACAAAGGGGGTTGATCATATTGTGGAGGATGGGGGGGCTGTTCCGGATCATTTGGGAATTTAGAACTTAAATGGGAACAATTTTCAGTCTTCGTATTAAGGTATGGGGCCCCACAGATCCTTGCTACGGCCCTGAACTTTCGCTGCCAAGTCGGCTGCTAACTTCAGCGTCATTCAGGTGCAGCATAGAGTGGAAGAGTTCCACAGTAAGTCTTCACCATTGACATAACATCAACGAATTTCCACATCCGAAAGTCAGAGACAATCACCAGGGTGTCTTTTTTTCCTCAAGAGACAATTGAATGTTCTCTGACTTCATATCTTTGTGGGTAATTCTTCTACTGTGGAGATGGCCTGCATCATCCCAGATCTGTCAGAACATAAATTTGGATGCACTCTCTCTTTGAAAATGCCCTTCATTCGCTTCACTTTTTACGCTTAACCCTCGATATTTTACACTTGACACTTCACCTTTGATATTTAGCCCTCGATATTTCACCTTGGATATTCAACCCTTGATATTTCACCCCTAACGCTTCATCCTGGATGCTTGACCCTTGATATTTTACACTGAAGTTTCACCCTTGAGATTTCATTCTTGATGTTTCACTCACTCTTGAAATTTCACCCATTCCCTCGAGTTGTTGCTTGAGTGATATCTAAAGATCAGGTTAGGTCGATTTGGCAGATGGTGTCAACTGTGTGTTGATAACAGCTGACCCACGCCGTAAAAATAATCCAGTAAAGTTCCCGTGGACCAGTGAAAGTGATCGTGAATCCACGACAAAAATTGCCGTGGATCCACGGCACCAATCCGAAACACCGCAGATCCACGACAAAACATTACCGTGGATCCACGGCACCAATGCGAAACGCCCCAGATCCACGACAAAAATTGCCGTGGATCCACGGCAAAAATTACCGTGGCGCGTGTGAATAGACACTGCCAAAAAAATTTTTATTAATTTTTTTGTCAACTTTTTTTATTCTTGGGAGTAGTAATAAGAATCATAATTTTCCATCCAGTAGAATGGAAAATTATTGAGAAGTTGTTGATGGGCGAAGATTTTGTCAGTGGATTATTCGATTGAAATTCAGCATCATATTTTCCTTTTTTCCCCTCTGGGTCTCCCCTGGGCCTTTATCTGGACTTTGGATTTTGCTGTTTCATTTTCTTTTCCATTAATTCATTGATAAAATCCTTGCCCGTCAAAACTTCTCAATAATTTTCCATCCTACTGCATGGAAAATTGTTATTCTGATCAGTACTCCCAAGAATAAAAAAAAGTTGATAAAAAAAAATATTTAATAAACAAAAATTTGTTTTGCTTGAATGGCGTCAAATAGTCGTTTTTGTGACTGTTTCATTTTGTCTCACTCTCCCCTATATATCTACTATTTTTAACCATCTATTTATTTTTTATCATATAATTTTATTGTATTTTGCGGTCTTTAATTCCTTTTTTCGGGTTCCATTCGGCACTCTATCACATAACTCACATAAACTCACATAACTACAACGGTTTTTCTAATTGTTTATTTAAAAAATCGCAATAATACTCGCTTTTTCCGAGCGATAATGGTTTTTAAATAACTAACCATCCTTCCGAACAATAAGGCCCTTTTGAGTATTCCACGTAAATGCGTAGTTATTGAGATATAAATGTTCACAAGTTTGTGGATTTCTAAATTGCGTGACACCCTATCAACAATGTAAATGTAAAAGGTACTAGGATATCCAATTCATGGGTGCGTTTCGGAATCAACTACCGTAGCTGCAGTAAAGCAAAATTAGATAGGGTTGCAGTACTGCTACTGCTACTACGTCGATTGCGAAACGCGCCCCATACCTTTGACAGTAGCAGTGAGACTTTCGTCAGAAACAATTACATCTCTAGCTTTCCTAATTTCATCCTCTGCAGCTTCGGATTTCCTCAATTTAATATAACACTGGGCAGCTCTCAGATGAACCTTATACACGAGTTTTCGGGGATATCCTGCCTCAATCGCCACTTCAAGGTCCTCGAGACACTCCTTGTACCGGCACATGTGAAATAGACTTGCAGATCTATTGGCAACCGCTACAGAAAAATCATCTCTATTCACTGATGAAAATTTCGCACTTTCTGTGTATGAGGAAAGACTTTTAATGTAGTCTCTTCTCTTGAAAGAATCATTTCCAATGTCTTTAAATTTTTTGGCACATTTAGAGGACTTTGAGGATTTGTGTTTGCACTGGTTGTCCAGCCAGGAGGAAATTAAATCCACGACGTCATGATTTTTGGAAATTAAGGAAATTACTTCACTTTCCGTTTTTGATTTGTATATTTGTTCTTTCGAGTTAGTTGACCGGAGTTTACGGTGAATCGCCTGGAGAAATGTCTCCCACTGCATTTTAAATTGTTTATTAATGTGGTGTTAATTGGGATCCGATGGAACATTGATTCGAAAAAATTATTGTCCTTTGGTTTTTAGGAATCATTCAATTCAATTGAAGTAAATTGAACCACTGTTATTAGTGTTTTTGTGAAGAGAAGAGTGGAGACTTTATAACCTAAAATTGAGATGTTTAAAGAGGCTTCCGGTTCGATTAGGAACTAGCTTAGGGCCGGCGTACAATCAAAAAGAACAGAGATTATAGGGGAGATCAGCAGGGCCAATGTAAAGTGTTCCAAAGCAAAAGTCGTAGCGGTGGCGCATGGACTACGATAGAGCGTACGGAACTGTTGGTATGGTAGGGCCCGAGTATAAATTTGTCGATAACCGGAAAGGGGTTCTCAATACGGTAGCTCCTCGC